AGTTTAAAAATTAATATATAACAAAATAAATAAATTGTATATTTTAATTTTTATAATTAATATATAAGATTAGAATACTAAAAATATTTCTAATCATCATAATTCAAAATTTCGTATAAAAACTTACAAATAAATATAATTAATATTGAGATTTAGATCTTCTTTGTCATAACCAACTTCTATATAGTAATAACTTATGAAACATATCATTTTCTAACTCTATTATTTATAGAGATAGAAATTAAGAGGAGATCTAATTCATTATAATAATTTTTTAGGTACTCTTAGCAAACAACTCACCTTTAATTTCAAATTGTATACCTATTCATAGCACACTATATAAAATTGATATAAAACTTAAGTTCACTTGAATATATAATTTAATTAAGTTTTACTAATTTTATATTTAATTCAATTTTAAAATCAAATATAATTAGCAAAAACCATTATAAAAGTTTCTAACATAGTCAACTAAACTCCTTACTTACCTTTTTAGGATAAAATTTCTTAATTGTAAACTCTCAAGAAAAGTAAGAGGTTTAATAAACTAAACAATTAGGAGCAGTTTTAAGGTTTCAATTAGCTTCCAAGGCAGCCGTTTCTAAGCTTCATACCAAATGGACCCTTAGTGCATATGTGCTAACACTCATTGAAGAAGCACCACAGCAGATTTACACACAAGCACACACACATTTTTGTCTGAATTGTGAGACACATTGTGTGATTCAGTTATTGAAATCTTCATATAAACTTTGCTCCTTAAAGTATTAGTGTTTTTGTTTTTGTTTTTTTTTTTTTTTTTTTTTTTTTTTGTGCTTTGATACAATAAGGTGGTATTGAGGTATTCTTGGTACGTTGAATACATAGTTTTTTGGAGCTTATTCTTTCAAATGCTTAAATTTTTCTATCCTTTCCACAAGTTATAAAAACTTTTAGGAAGCTTTGGAGGTGGAGGTAGTGAAAGAAAACTGCCCATAAATATTCAAGTTTTATTTAAAACATGAAACAGATTATTTATTCATATAGAAAATATTCCCCCAAAACAATCCCTTAATGTAATATGGGATTGCCAAATCAAAGCTAACATACAAACTAATAAGACCAAGTGTGCTAACAAATTCACTGAGGATCTTCCCGTAATGTTAGCACGCATATACTCGCATTTGTCTAAAATATGAGACCAATTTAAGGTCTAAAGCTCACCATCCCAGAGTTCATCTAGGGTTTTGAAAGGTCCATTAGGTGAGATGAATCCCTCATTTAGTAGGAACCTCCGTTGCATAATCTGGTTAATCTTCTCGTGTTCCTCCTTAGTTAATTCCCAATCAAATATCTGTAAATTCTGCTTCATCCTCTCCTTGTTGAAGTTCTTAACCACAAAAGTTGCTCCTTGCTCATACGACCATCTCAGACAAACTTGCCAATGTCCCAAATATATATTATTAAAATCATTGATATCAAAGAGTAATGTAAAACATGTAGATTTGTGCTTAAACAATGTACAAGAACCTGAGCAACAATCTTTCCATGAGCTTTAGCAATCTCTTTTAGTGTTTCGTTAGCCAAAACATGATTGGAGCCCCACCAAGTGCCAATTGCTCCCAAAGGCGAAAAGGCTGTCACAATTACATTTGTGGCCTTGTAGAATTCCCTTAGCTTCTTTTGTTGCCAGAGAGGGTTCATCTCCACCTAAAACAAGACAAAGTCTCATTACCTATTCTTTATTCATTTTTGTAACATCCTTTTATAATCAACATCAAGCTGATCATATTGATCGTCAATAATCCATCAAAAATGTTCCTAATGTGGTAAATTACACTCGAAAGCAAGTAATCCAACATTCATTGTGTTTAAACCACAAAACCATTCAAAACAATCCCAGTACTCTAATATTTGCAACATGGAAAGAATGTAACGGATAAAATTAATCTCAACTACTCACTTGGATTCACGGATGTGGGGATGGTGGCAAAAGAGAATATGTTTTCAAGCTTCTTGCAAGAGAGGTTGGAGACACCAATAGACTTGGTGAGGCCAAGCCTTTGACACTCTTCCATGGCACCCCACACTGACTTGTAATCCATTAGTTGAAGCTCCTCTTGGGGGATTGACCCCCGTAATTTTCCTGGCTTTGCACTGATAGGCCAGTGGATGAGATATAGATCCAGGTATTCCAACTGAAGAGTCCTAGATAAACATAATAATCACCATGAATCGGCAAAATTTATCTACAAGAAATCTGTCACCTAGGGACAAACAGGACAAGGACAAGCCTAATATCCCCTTTTACAGAACGAATTCTCTATTGAATTTATTTTCTAAAATAAAATTAATTCTGTTTTTATTCAAGTGAAAAAGTTGTCAATTTTGCAGTTTTGTTGGTCCCTTCAAATATGATTAGTTTTGTACAGACAAAAAATTTCTGTAAACCATCTTGGTTTATTATTATTATTATTATTTATATAGAGAATAATTGGAGAAGGGGAAAATTTTTCAAGCAGTGAAACTTTGAGCAACTAAATCCAAATAATAAGGTTTGGAACAAACCATCAGGGCGGAAGGGCCGGTCCCTATATTGCTATATTGGTTTATTTGTGTCCAATTATCTTGGGATTGTGCATAATTTCTTGGAGAATCCGAGAACGAGGTTCTAACGAAACTGTTGACGCTGTCTTTAATTGAGAAATAAGGGGGAATTAAGATGGGTAACTCAGGGATTTCTGCAGCGCAGGGAGAACAAGATCGGGATGAACGTCGGTCACCCAGAGCTTGGAAGTGACAAAGAATTCTTCCCGGGAACTAACGAGACCGAGCTGAATTGCTTCAGCCAAGGCTTCTCCCAGGGCCTTCTCAG